TTACTAGTTACAGCCAAAATAAATTAAATCTACCATGTAATATTTTAAATAGTATAATTCTTTGATAGTGTGATTCTTTTAAAGAAATAATTAAGCTTCGAAAAGCAGAGAGGAAAACTAAGAGGATTTCTTGCTCTACTGGTCCCAACATGAATTGGACAGTTTTAATTATTCTATAAGCTCTTGTATAGAACAACTGTAACACCCATTTTTCTAGTGCTTCTTTTCAAACAGTATCACTGTAAATATTTCTTCCTCTTGCATATTTCATCTATCTCCCATAAATATTAGACATTGGATTGTCAATCTGTTCTCCAAATGATAACTTATTTTTTTTAAATTAATATTATCCAATTTATCAGATATTGCATTTTATCTGTACCACACCTTACAAAATAAACTGATTCAAAACATTTCAACAGACATAACAAAGCTTTTTATGTATTAATGAGCTCTATTTAAAAACTGGACAGTTGAAGATTTCCTTCTATTCCTTTATCACTTAAAGCAATATCAAAATCATTTATTCAAATCAGCATTAATTATTAGTACTGAATAATTCAATAATCTTCTGAATGTTATTTCCAAAAGACAATGCATATATCTACAAACCTGAGGCCAAGTATCCTTTGAGGCGTGGAAGCAGAGTTTCCGGATCTATTAAAGAAAGTTTCCCCAAGCATTCAGCAACAACATTTCTGGTACCCTCTTCTGCACACTCACAATGTTTGAGTAGCAAAGACCAGATGCTCTCCACATAAGGTTTGAGACCTTGTACTGTTGCAGAGCTAATTATTTCCTTTAAGGAATGAAGAAGAAGGTATTGTCTTTTAGGCTGACTAGTTATTTCTTGCAAGACAAATGGGAGATATTCTGGAAGATTGCCGACACTAATACTTCCCAATGCATACGAAGCTGCAGACTTTACTTCTTCACTAGGAGAGGAAAATGCTTCTAAAATTACGGATTTTAGCTCTATTTGTCCACTTAAGTCAATATGATGTCCAACTTCCCCTAGAGAAAGCAAAGCTAAGAGACGAATGGAATCTGTAGATCTCGAGTTCTTGACATCCTGGATAAATTGACCTACAACTGCTGGTCCCTCTTTAGGACATGCTCGTGTAAGGGCAGCTACACATTTGGCAATTGAATAATAAGACTGCTTGTGAGTAAGTGCTGTACTTTGTGAGTACACTGGACCTGTTAACATGCGCAATAAATCCATATACCCTAAGTTGCTTGTTCCAGTCACAACCAGAGCTTGGAAAAATTCTAGCATAGCACTAAGAGCTCCACCTTGCAATAACGGTGACCGTACCAGCCCAATAAGTTCATTCAATATAGAGCCACTGATTTTTGAGAGTGAGGAAGGATAAACTTTAGCTAGAGTGGTCAGAAAACTGATGGCCATTTGTGACACATGCATATCACTCTCACTAATAAGAGGTGGAAGTTCATCTAGGACAGCATCAATCATAGCAGCTGTCAAGCTATCACTGTAGTTTTTTATTAATATATCTAAAGCAGAGAGAGTTCCAAGTTTCAAAGCACGTTGGTTCTTTCTGAGGAAAGAAGCAAGAATAGGAACACCTTCTCCTAAAACTGGCCTCAGATCAATCTTCAGAGATGAACCAGCTATCAGAGTCAAAGCCTTCACAGTGGTTAGTCGAGTTATCTCATTTTTTAGTCTCTCTAGAAATATCTGAAGAGTATTAGGTAGATCAGAACCAAGATTGTCTCCAAGACTGCAAATGATTTGGCCCATACAAGAAATTGCTCTCTCTTTCACTTCTTGATCAATGTCAGCAGCTTTCAGTCTCTTGATTGTACAAGTAAACAAATCTTTGATATAAGGACTGGCATCAAAAGAAGAAGGCTGATCCAGAGGACGTATGACTTTAACCAGTTGTTGGGTAACTAGAAGTGCCTCAGACGTTATTTTGTAAAATGGATCTCCAACACATGCCACAACAGGAGGCACCAATGCTTGGACATGAGGATGAAAAACTTGGGGAGCGTGATTACAGAGGATCACATACAAACAAGATAAAGCATCTATCTTCAGATTAGAAGAACTTGATTTGTCATTCAGTGAAAAAATTATGCCTGTAAAAGAATGTATAATTAATTTGCATAATTTTATATTTCCAAAATACTTCTCTTATAATTCTAAACATCTGAGTTAAACTAAATGTGTATCAATAATTGTATGAATTTGTATTTAAGTAACAAAAAAATTAATAAGGGAAATAGATATTATCTCCATTTGTTATCCACATCTCAATAAATATTTTGTAACCTGCGTGTCAATAAATATTTTTCTACTTTTACACTACAAAGTCTCAAAAGTGAGAAAATAGTAATTCTTACAGAACCGCACCTCTTTCTGAAGAGGGTTGGTGGTTATCTTAGTAGAACTCGTTGATGCAACTTTTTTTCACCAAAGGCCCAGTGACTACGAAAGTAAAAAGTATTGTATTGTATTGTTCCCCTCCCTTCCGGTTTTGTTAGCCACCCTGAGTCCCTCGGGAATAGGGCGGCATACAAGTTGAATAAAACCTCTAAACCTCTACTGATAGTTAATTGCCTATAGTCATTTTTTTCTCTCTCTCTCTAATATCATCATAAACTTTTCTTTTGGGGGTAGTCAGGTCACAATGATTTGTATCAGAAAAGCCTCGTATCCAAACTATATAGACTTCAGCAGATACATAATCTTTCTGCTTGTTTACTAAGTAGCACATAAGGTCAGAATTTTATTGCACCGATAATCCATTATCTGCATCACTAGCCTTTCACTAGCCTTAGTTCAAACTTTTCTTCTCACTTTTTAAGGCTTTAAGTAGTTTTAACATTCATTTACTGAAATATTTATTTTATACAAGCCAGCCCAATGTTTATGACCTTTGAAATTGGCACAATCGGATCCAGACCGCTTCCTGGGCCCCCTCATCCCAGAAGCAGCAACCTCATACTCTCCCCTCTTTGCTAGCCCCCTTCTTCGCACGGGATCACCCAGCAGCAGAGATGGAGAGGGTGAAGGGGGCAGAGACAGCCACTAGCATTGAGGGGAGAGCGCCACACAGAAACGGCACCGCCTTTTCCCTCTCCATTGCTGGGCGATTCCATCCGAAGAAGGGGGCTAGCAGAGAAGGGAAGCGTGCAAGGTTGCTGCTTCTAGGATGAGGGGACCCAGGACACGTCTGGCTCTGGCTCACCTGACTTCTCTTCTTCTCACAGTCAGCTTTTTGGGGCCATTTTTGGGTTGATTTTGGCCAGAAAAATGGCCACTGAAAACAGCCTGGAAAATTGACTGTTTTGGAGCGTTTTTCTAGACATTTTCCTGCCCCAAAACGGGTGGGGGTAGGGCCAGCCGGTGGTCCGATTTGCTAGTTCTCTGAAAAGCTCAGAATTGGAACTACCCATTTGGGCGAATTGGCCCGAACTGGCAGCAGCCCACCTCTGGTTCTATCAACAATTTAACTGTTGTTAAATTGATTTTGACACAATTTTAACATAAAACCAACAGCTGTTCCATGAAATTGGAAAAATTTATGGCAATTTTATTTAAAGACTCCTTCTCTCAATTTTGTTCTTTCCAGTCTTTTCTTTGCATAGATATTTACTTCCATTACTTTCCTGTTTCTTCTTCTTATCCATACACCTTTCAAACTTTCAGCACATCAGAATAACAAAAAAATATTTCAAAACCTTTAGCATGAATATAAAATACTCTATTTGGAGAAAACATTATTTCTTCCCTGCTCCTATTTATAAATATTTGACTATTATTTTGGCTATATGCTTTGTATTCTAAAATGCAGGGGTCAAGTCAATCATCCCAAGAAAGTCCAAGCATATGATTCAGTTTGGATATTTGGATGATACTATTTGGAGACTCAATCGCCAAACAGCATATCTGAATTGAATTCTCACATAACTCTACAGCATAGTTGTATAATGGCTGAAGAAGACATAGTACTGACTCAAAACTAAGCAGTACTTTAAAATGTTAAAAGTTCAAAATTGTTTTAAAGCAAAATACACAAAATCATACCTGGAACAAGTACAGGAATGTGTTGTGTGAGAGCACCAGGCAATACATTGACCAATTCAGTTAGCATATTAAAACAGCATTGACGAGTCTTCACACTTTTTTCCTTCATCTGTTTATGCAAAGCTTTAACAATATTGGGAACCTGTAATTATATGTGCATAAGACAGTCCAACCATTACTCTCCCTATACAAATACACAAATTATGAATAGGTTTTTATATAATGATAGAAATAAGAATACAAGATAAGCCCTGCTGGATTAGACCAAGTGCTCACCTGGACTAGTAGTCTGTTCTCAGAATATTTCCTGAGTACAAAGTACCTTTGTACTTTGTTGTATTAGGATGCAGCAGTAGTTAACCTCTATAAAGCAAAAGTAGCTATCTAAAAGCTGAACAGCATAATGATTCAAGCCTCTATATCACAAAATATCTGTATTTGATCTAGACAGTTCATTACAGTTAGGAGTAATATAATTGTATACTGCTTTAAAGACGCACACACCACTTTGCATAATCAAATGTTGGTGCTATGGATGCTTTTCTTTACTAACCTGACTCTGAAGCATTGTTAAAGGTGTTTCTCCTTGCTCCATTGCATCAGGATCACAGAGCCAACTCTGTATAGGTCGAGTTTGTTTTAGAAGAGAGAGATATGCATGGAAAACATCTGCTTTTACATTCTCCTCCCGCTCTTTGAATCTTGCAATTAAAGCAGGGGATACTGTCTTATAGAACTCGGGCAGCATTTCATGCCTCGTACTGACTACAGCATCCAAACATTTTGCGGCTGCACGTCTAACCTTCCAGCTCATATCATCATCATCACTATATTCGTCATCACTCCCTTGAAAAGAATAAAAGGATACCAGGTTATATGCAGTCATGATTAAAAATCAGAGATAACACTAAACTATGTTTATGTATATATTTTACACACACACAGACACACACACACACACATACTTAGCAATTGCTAATACTGACAGACTGTAATACTAGTTTGCAATTTACATCCGTAAAAACAACACTAGATGTTTGTCTATGGAGTGTGGAGGTGTGTGTGTGTGTGTATGTGTACCGTGTTTCCCCGAAAATAATACAGGGTCTTATTTTCTTTTGATCCCTGAAATATGGCCTTGGGCTTATTATTGGGGGGGGGTGGGGTGTTATTATTTTGGAGCCAAGCTCTTCCCAAGAGCATCCCCCTGGCCACTCCCCTCTGCAGCCGAGCAGAGTGCCACTCATCGACTCAGCGGCATCCTGAAGGAAGCAAGTTGTGCGAGTGACGGAGAAGAAGGGACCGTCGCTCGTCTGGCTTGGCACCTTCGGGGTACCGCTCGCTCAGTGAGGGGCGCTCTGCCCGGCTGGAAAGGGGGGTTCAAGTAACCCCTTTTCCCCCCCCCCCCATTTGCATGCTTCCCAGTCCTCACCACAGCCTGGGCCAGCTGCCAGCTAATGAGTCTTCCGGAAGCCAGGACAGAGTCTTCCAGCAGTGGCTGCTCTGGGAGTGCGCTCCCCACTCTATGGTTGTGGCGTGGCTGCCGGAACACTCTGCCCTGACTCCTGGAAGACTCGGCAGCAGGCGGCAGGCCCAACCGGCCTCTCAGAAGCCATCCCGTGCTGGGATGGCGGTGGTGGCCTTGGCCCTGCAGGGATAGCTAGTCCAGGCCGTGGTGAGGACTGGGAAGCATGCAAATGGGGGGGGGGGGGAACAGGCGCCCATGCAACCCCCCTTTCCAGCCGGGCAGAGCGCCCCCCACTGGGCGAGGGGACCCCCGAAGGGGC